AATCCAGAAGACATAGATCAACTACTAAGTATCAGTGGAATGGTAATACGCACATCCGGAGTTATCCCAGAAATGCGTGAGGCCTTCTTTAAATGCATACTTTGTGCATTTTGCGTATCAGTTGAGGTTGATAGAGGACGTATCGCACAACCGACACTTTGTACAAACTGTAATACAAATCATTGCTTCCGATTGGTCCACAATCGTTCGGAATTCACGGATAAGCAATTGATAAAACTACAAGAGTCGCCGGACGACATGGCAGCCGGTCAAACGCCGCACAATGTGCTGCTTTATGCTCACAATGATTTGGTCGACAAGGTACAACCTGGTGATCGAGTCACCGTAACTGGTATATACCGCGCCGTTCCAATGAAAGACAGAGGTCGTAACATTAAAAGCGTTTATAAAACCCACGTTGATGTGGTGCATTACCGCAAAGTTGATAGCAGTCGTTTATATGAAGAAGAAGAGGGGTATGTACATGTACGAACGTCAAATGCTATAGTACTTAAATAATTTTAAATATGTATATATGTAAAGGAAAATGCACATATTCACACCTGAACGCGTGGAACTCTTACATTTGCTTTCACAAAAACCCGATATTTACGACCGTTTGTCGAGAGCTATAGCTCCATCTATATATGAAAATGATGACATCAAGAAGGGTATTCTGTTGCAATTGTTTGGTGGCACTAAGAAGACGCATTCAACTTTGGGCAGACAGAATTTCAGGTAATTCATTAACATCATGTCCTATTGGATTATTGTCAGGAGTATGCATTCATTTTCAATTTCTTTTATATATAGAGCTGATATACACTTGCTTTTATGTGGTGATCCAGGTACATCAAAGTCTCAACTATTGCAATACGTTTTCAATTTGGTGCCGCGATCGCAATATACTTCCGGCAGAGGTTCTTCCGCAGTTGGTCTAACAGCCTATGTTACAAAGGATCCCGAAACACGACAGCTAGTTCTGCAAACGTATGTATTTTCATAATCTTATGATTTCGTAAATTCTATTCAAGTGTATTTATAGAGGTGCATTGGTACTGGCTGATAACGGCGTTTGCTGCATCGATGAGTTTGATAAAATGAATGACTCAACGCGCAGTGTGCTGCATGAAGTCATGGAACAACAAACACTGAGCATAGCTAAGGCTGGCATAATTTGTCAGCTAAATGCTCGCACATCAATTTTGGCGGCAGCCAATCCTGCAGAATCGCAATGGAATAAAAAAAAGAACATAATAGACAATGTACAATTGCCACATACGCTGTTATCTAGATTTGATTTGATTTTCCTTGTGCTCGACCCACAGGATGAACAGTTTGATCGCCGTCTAGCCAATCATCTCGTATCACTTTATTATGTGACTCGGCATGAAGAGGAGGATACAATGTTTGTAAGTGACTCCAAAAAAAAAAACCAATTGCTTTATATAAATATTTAAATCCACAGGACATTAGTGTATTACGTGATTACATTGCTTATGCTCGTGAACATTGCTCCCCTACATTATCGGAAGAGGCTCAGCAACGCCTTATTCAAGCGTATGTTGATATGCGTAAGGTAGGCGCACGTCGTGGTCAAATATCAGCCTATCCAAGACAATTGGAGAGTTTGATACGTCTGTCGGAAGCACACGCCAAAGTGCGGCTAAGTAGCGTTGTAGGTGTTCAAGATGTAGAAGAAGCTTGGAGGTAGTGCTATAGCTTAATTTTTGTTTGCATAACAAATTGACTAAACAAATTCCAACTTAGGTTACATCGTGAAGCTTTGAAACAATCTGCGACAGATCCACTATCTGGTAAGATAGACGTAGGCATTCTCACTACTGGCCTCTCGACTGCTGCGCGCAAAAAACGTGCAGATCTCGTATTAGCCATCAAGGAAAATTTGAAGAAAAAAGGAAAAGTACCAACAGTTCCATATCAGAAACTTTTCAAAGAAGTCAAAGATGCTTCGCAAATTGTAAGCCCTTTTTTGGAAATTATTTGACGTGATATTTACTAACGTCTGTATTAAATTTTAGTTGATAACACGCGAGCAATTCGAAGACGCTCTCAAAGAAATACAAGATGAAGGAGCAATCGTGGTAATGGGCAAAAACACTATAAGGATCTGTTAAGTTGTTAAGTACATATAAAAGCATTCATATGAATGCTTTTTTTTTAAATATTCATATGTATATATTTTTTTATTATCTACGGTTATTTCAAATAATTTTTCAATCAAACGTCCTTTAATCCATGATAAAAACATTGGACTCTTTTTCCCGATTCGTCGGTTATGATTTTTTAATTGGTCGATTACGGATTGCAACCGAACTTCAGTTGGGCGGCCAGTGGCTGACATGGTATTACAGATGGCAACTGGCACCTGAAAGCTGACAACTGAGTTGCTTTATTAGCAACTGCATTTTTGTGGTTGCCGCGGAAATTTTGATTGAGATTATTTATTTTTTCAACTGTTCAGCTTATTTACACCCAAGTCTTAGTTGGTGGTTCTTCAAATTTTTTTTACCTTCAACGTTATAGAACTTAACTATAGTTGCTATTCATAATATACATTTTCCTTTCAGTGGCGTTGGCCATCGGCAATCCAACTGCGGTTGCGTTGCCATCCATAATCGACCAATAAGTTTGCCAGCATTTTAAAATTATATGAAACTGAAAATAAAGAAATAAAATTATTCAAAATGGTTGCGAGGCGAATTAATAATTTATATTAGTTATTCCGCCCAAGGCGAATCTATACAAGGGTGTTACCGGCGAATTAGATTTTTGCTGCGGTTGTACAGATTGTCCCAAGGCGAATTTATACAAGGGGGTAGCAAGGATACAACAAAACCACATGTATTTTGTATTGCGCGTGTTATGTCAAATCTCAATTCGCCCCAAAGTTTGCATGTATGGAGTCGAGTCTATACAAGGTGAAGGTGGTGTTATCGGATCCGCTGATTCCACGGCGAATTTGTACCTTTTTTTACAAAATGATATGTTTCAACAAACAAATTTTCTTGTATACTGATTGTTAGGGTTCGTTCAGAAATGCATCAAGCCAAAGCATCAGTCTCTTTTACTTCTAAACTACAACTGATGGAAATGCCTTGTTTACGCAATTACGTTCCAATTAGGCATTTAACCGTGGTTACGCATATTGGACATTTCCATCAGTTATAGTTTAGAAATAAAAATGTCTGACGCTTTGGGTTGATGCATTTCTGAACACATCCTTAATGTGCGTATAATTTGTTATTGTAAAATTTGTTTTTGTTCTGTTAACACCTCCTTGTATAAATTCGCCTTATATAAGGCGAAGAAATAAGCTGGGCTCAAATCGTAACATTCGTTTACGGATCGAAAACCACACGAAAGAAAATTACGTGATACATCAGTCGTTTATGCTGAATATGTCATAATCCGAAAAACGTGTTTTTACATGACGAGTAATACGATATCATGTGTGGTGATTCAGGCCCAGATCTAGTTTCGCCGGTAACACCACCTTGTATATATTCGCCTTGAATTCACGCAAGGCGAATTTATACATGGTGGTAATGGCAAATTTAGATTTCGCCGCGGTACTTCTTAATGTCAAAATGATGTGTTTGTTGTAATATGAATTCGCTTCTTTTACAACAAATACCTCATTTAGACCAAGGCGAATTTATACAAGGTGGTGTTGATGGCGAATTAAATTTTCGCCGCGGTACTACAAAATGATGTGTTTGTTGTAATATGAATTCGCTTCTTTTACAACAAATACCTCATTTAGACCAAGGCGAATTTATACAAGGTGGTGTTGATGGCGAATTAAATTTTCGCCGCGGTACTACAAAATGATGTGTTTGTTGTAATATGAATTCGCTTCTTTTACAACAAATACCTCATTTAGACCAAGGCGAATTTATACAAGGTGGTGTTGATGGCGAATTAAATTTTCGCCGCGGTACTACAAAATGATGTGTTTGTTGTAATATGAATTCGCTTCTTTTACAACAAATACCTCATTTAGACCAAGGCGAATTTATACAAGGTGGTGTTGATGGCGAATTAAATTTTCGCCGCGGTACTACAAAATGATGTGTTTGTTGTAAACAAGGCGAATTCATTTTACAACAAACATCATTTTGACATTCAGTAGTACCGCGGCGAAAATTTAATTCGCCATCAACACCACCTTGTATAAATTCGCCTTGATTTAGACATTAAGATGTACCGCGCCGAAAATCTAAATTCGCCATTAACACCAACTTTTATAAATTCTCCTTGATTTCACACGAAGAATTTTTGCTGGTAGAATCTGGTACAAGGCGCATTTGTACAAGGTGGGTTTGATAGAACAAAAACAAAAATTCCAACAGCAAATTATACCCACATTGACGATCAGTACAAAGCAAAATTACAACAAACACATCATTTTGACAAAAGGTATAAATTCGCCGTGAAATCAGTGGATCGGATAACAGTACCTTGTTTAGATTCGCCTTGATCTGGTACGTATGTCCTTTTTAGTTTTTCTCTTTGAGGAACATTTTGCTTTTTGACAGTTTTAGAGCGCGGTTATCCACGAACGTTTACGAAGTACGTAGCGTACCGTAGAGAAGCGTAGAAACATATCAAGTTTGCCGTTGGTAGAAGAGAGAGGCAGCGTCTACGTCACCGTCATGCGGTGGCGAGTTTTTGTTAACATGCAGATCTCATAAGATCGTGTCAGCTGACACGTTCAAAGTATTTACGTCCGTGTGTAACTGCGCTTTTGCGGGGCCCGAATCGCGGCATTCGATATCGAACGTAACAGCTGTCATTTTGTTTCATTAGATTCGAAACGAGTGATCACACGATCACGAATGGCGCGATTCGAACGGCCCAGGTTTTATCCAGAAAAGTTGACGAACGAAACTATTATTTTGCAAACGTCAAAAATGCTAAAAGTGCTTCTCATGATACACAAATTTAAACACTTGATCTCAGCGGTTCTACCCAAAATGTGTTTAACAAAGTGTGATTGAATTTGACATTGAAAAGAGAGCCCATCTGAGTTGTCCATCACGCCTTGTTTAATACATCTTGATTCTACCTATGTCTTTGTTTTACTTGAATATATTTTTATCACGCTTTAAATTCGCTAACAAAATGTTTCAAGCAAGTTTATACTTTTTGAGCACCCCTTTAAAATGTAACGACTCTGGTGTTAACTAAGCTAAATAATAGAGTTCGTAAAACTGTTGTATGACGGAATTTATTTGGTCCCTATCCGGTAGTGCATTTTTGGTCCCAAACCGCAGTTTCGGTACCAGTGTGAATTTAGTAATATCCCAAATATCATTTTGGAAGCCGCCGTATTAAAATAATATATTGGCAAAAGTCGAATGGTTGGAAATTTTCATCTGCAAATTTTTGGGTTGATTTGTTACAAATTTTCATACATATTGCAATGTCTTCAGAGCCAGATGCAGAGCAAATAAATTGCAGCAAATTTGAATCAGCAGAGGAAGGAATTGTCACAACAGTAGTGGAAAATGCAAACAGTACGATGTCGCAAACAGAACAAGAGGAATCTTGCCACCAAATCGACTGTTCGGTCCCGCGCAAACAACGCGAACGCCGTAATAAATCTCCCATTGCCATATCAACACTTTTAGAAACTTTTGCAGCTCCACTATCACCAGCATCATCTTGTACTTCACAAGGCAATAGCAGTGCCGATGCCACATTTGAGCCTTCTATTGATATGATGGTCAATGACTTTGACGATGAACAAACGCTCAATGAGGAGGACGCATTAGCTGCCATGGAGCAACAAGATCCACATGATGAAATTGCTACCTTGAAGGAAGAGGGCGAAATGCCTTTAGAAGAGTTACTAGCCAAGTATCAAGGAGCGCCTCCTATTCCTGTACACATTGCCACTCAGAGGAAAAAGAATAAAAGAAGTGCGGGGAGTGGGAAACATTCGAAACACAGAAAAACGGAAAGTGACTTGCCAGTAGAAATTAATATTTCTGAGGACTATATGAATGGCGCAATAGAGCCAGTTGAAGAAAATCAGTCGAAAACGAAACAAACAACAGCGAATGAAGTTATATTAATTGAAGAAAGTAATGATGAAGATCATAATGGCAGTAAATTGATGACAAAATCTTCCTTGGGTGAAGAAGTAGCATTGGCACAGCAAGGGGAGGATTGCATGCCTGCTCGAAATTCGGAAAACAATGATTCATCAATTGAACATGTTAATGAAAAAACTAAACACCGTCGCTCTCATCTTATGGATCTTTATCCAGAAGAGTCCTTTACAGAAGTATTAAATTCAGGAGATGGAACTGACAAAGGTAAATCTAAAATAGTTAAGACCCACAGGTATTAGACTGAATTAGAAAGGGATCTAAAATAGGAGCTTCTTAAGAGATATTTAATCGTATTTTATGTTTAGATTTGCCACTCAAACCTCTCTTTAATGAATACGACGAAATAGAAGATATAAATGAGGTGGAGGAGGAGGAGGAGGAAGGAGAGTTTGATAGTGACTATGTGAAGAAAACAATCATGGTAGGTCCGTCTTATCAAGCAACCATACCGGATGGATTATCACAGTATGGAGATGTGTTACCATACGAGAATGAGGATAAATTAATTTGGGAACCAAGTCAGGTTAGCGAACGTCAAGTAGAAGAATATTTATTGAAAGCACGCGATATCAAGCCGTGCATGTTGGACAGTGTTGATGAAGAAACCGAAGAATGTAACGAGACTAATAGTGCAGCGAATAAAGCTAGCGAAGCTATAGGTCTACGGAATGGAAGTGATACTGATAATAAAGAATTCTCTAAGAATCACAATACGGACGATGTGCTTAATCTACCGTCGTCCCTTGCCAATAATGAATGCGGTGATGCGACTGCTGTCATCAAAGACAACGAGCAGGTCTGTACAAATTTTAAACTGCAAATACAATTGTAGTTATTTTAAAAATGTTCATTTATCTGGTTACAGGCTCTTCACTTGCTGGTCCAATGCGGATATGATTTCAAAGAGGCCTTACGTCGTAAACGTCTAAATGCGCTTCCACTGACTGGTTCGATGAGTCTTTGGTCGGAAGAAGAGTGTCATAAATTCGAGGAGGGTATACAAAAATTTGGCAAAGATTTTCTTAAAATTCGCCAAAATCAGGCAAGTATGGAACAAATAAGATTTGATAAATGCTGTATTAATAAGACGCTGTCGTCACAATTAATAAAGGTGCGTACTCGTACAATGCGAGAGCTGGTACAGTTTTACTATCTTTGGAAGAAAAGTGATCGCCGTGATCATAATTTTGCTAACTCCGACACCGTGGATCACATGGATATCTATCTAAATGAGGGTGGCGATTATAGCCCAACATCGGCAATCAACGGCACTGCAGGAACTGGTCACTCAACTAATAACAACGGCGCTCCAACTTTGGGTGTTCGAAAAAATAATGCGTGCGCTCAGAAGAATCCAATCTCTATAATGATGACCGGCAGCACTAATATCAATAACTGTGCGACAACAACAACAGCAGCAGCAACACAATTAAATGTCAGCAATAGTAAAGTAGCTAATAATCGAAAACGTAATGCTGTGGGACATCCCAATAATAATTATGAAAATCCAATAACTCCAAATATACCATTATCGCCTGCACAAACGAAATGATTACGGATCGTTTCGTAGCCCAATAGAATAATGCTTAGGGGGAGGAGGGTAAATGTGCGACGCGCTGAAGCTAAACCGTGAAGGTACTGGTGACCTAATCGTTATGCTGCGCAGCATGCAAAAAAGAAGTTACGGAAATGAATAGTATTAAATTAAAAATTAAAAAATATTTCTCTATACATAATATGTCTATTATATATGTATTAGTACATATAGGAGTTTAAATAACTTTTCCATCGTTTAAAAATTTCAATCTTGAAGAGTAATGAAATTATCGATGCAGATAGAAATTCATTAAAGTTTTTTTTTAATATAAGTTAGATTTGTAAGTGTTTAAACGATAACAATAAATGTTTTTCGTCACATGGCTACTGAATTCAATGTATGTAATACAGTGTATATACATGCAAGGATACATAATAGTGGAATTCACGCTTCTGTGTATTCGTTGTATCTTATGCAATTGTAACTGAATGAGCGTATGATTTGGTATGCATTGGCGGTGGCAATTGTCGCCCAGTGCATTGCTTTGCAACTAGTTTTTAACCGGTTCCGTTTTGGACAGTTTTTTTTTATAAGAAAACTTTTTTAAGATTAGATTTTTGGATAATTTTTCGTTTTTTGTTTTCTTTTACAGATTCTATTTTTGTTAAGCCGAAATTCATTAAATTTAAAAACTCACAACTGCCTCCGCCCGCGATTTGAACTCGCGACCAACGAAGCTTGAGTCGGAAGTCCTCTCGCTGAGCTACTTTCGTATTGTACGAGTAGTGAGCATTTGCAGATTTACACCGCTAGTTTCAACTGTACCGCTCTGCATCCATTTTGCACTAGAGATAGTTCTGATATATGTAGTTCGGAACTAGCGCTTTGTCAGACTGACTCTAAATTTTACTGCAGGACACTTACGCAAGACTGGTTTATTTAAAATTCAACACGTTATCATTCTGTTTTGAATAAGTAAAAATCTTGTTGGGAAGTAGATTTTACAAATCGCCAGTGGTATTAAAGCCCATATTTGAAGCTAGTTGCTCTAAAAGAAGGTATTTTGTTCCTTGAATAACGATTTTGTTGTTGGCTCGGTGTGAATAACAATGTTTTACCGCTGGAATTTCCAAATAGCTACGGTCGAAATGAGCGAAAAATTTGCCAACATAATGCGCAAAGAATGTTTCTCATTCTTGGTACTCATTTTTCCCATAGTGAAAAGTTTTTATTTGTTTTCCAAAGCTATATGCTTTTTACTTTAAACTAAATATCCTTTTCGCCAAGGAAAGGTTTGCCATGGAAGTCGAATGATTCTCCAAGTTGTGGTGGGCATGATAATCAACTATATTGGAGTTTCTTTCATCATTGAAAATAGCGTTTTTCAATTCTTCCTACAAAATTTTTAATTTTTGTAAAATGCTAAAAACGCATTTACGTGCCATAGAGTGGGCTGTGGTTTAGCGATCTATTTCTTCAACNTCAGAACAGTTTTTGACACTTTCGATACCAGAAGCAACAACAAAATACACGCAAATGTTGTTTTTGCTCTACTGATACTACCTGTTTAATGTGCCTTGAACTTTAGTAACAAAATTATTTATTGTGAATTTTCACTTATGACAGAGAGATTCAAAAACATTTAAATTTTTACGGTAAATCATGGTATTCCTAGTAGCTTGGTTGCTACACTGCCGGAACAAAATATTGGCACAGCAAATTTTTCACAATATATGCAACAATTTTTATTCTAATATTTTTCCGTTAATTTCGTACAAAAATATGGTTCATTCTACAACAAAAAACATAAAAATATAATTTCATGAAAATTTTCAACTTTTTAATCAAATTTTTTAGAATTTTCTTGAGTATGCAGATTTGTAGCCCAATCAATTTTATAATAATAAAGTGCAAGTTTTAAGTAGCTAAGAATTGCCGTAGTTACGTAGTCTCTTCCATGCGAACAATTTTTTTCGGAAATATTTTATATGAAAAAAATGCAAAACACCTTCAACAAAAAAATTCTAAAAAAATTTGATTAAAAAGTTCAAAATTTTGATGAAAATTTGCTGAATTTTCGCGAGTTTTGCACAAAGTTTAGGAATTATTTTCTATGTTTTTTGTTACTGCATGATCCATATTTTTATACAAAATTGGCGGAAAAAAATTAGAATAAAAATTGAGGCATATATTGTGAAAAATTTGCTGTGCCAATACTTTGTTCCGGCAGTGTAACTATTGGATATGTCATTTGCACCACTCTTTTGGGGCTTATATAGGCATATATGTATGTAATACTCCTATATTGGCAGTACGAGCTAGTACCGTCCGAAAACACTACAGTACAGATATATCAATAAACACGTACGAACCCAGTAGAACTTGGGAGCATCGTACGATTGCTCGTTGAGCACTCCCTTGGGAGTATACGAATACTCCCCATGGCTCCCTATGCTTCTGTGTATAAGCATGTAATTTTGTATACTCCCTTTAACATTGTATGTCCTAGGAGGGCGAGTAATTCCTTTCACCTCCTAAACGAGCAATCAGGGGGCACACAGAAAAATAGCATCCCAAAAACCTCCTAAGGGAGCAATACGGGAGTACTCTCAGAATAACCTCCCAGAAACCTCCCAAAAAGACAACAAGGGAGGGCACAAAGAAAAACATCCCACATTCCTCCCGAACGAGCAATAAGGGTGTACTCCCATAAGAGGCATCCCGCAAGCCTCCGTTACGAGCAATAAAAGATGGTTTATATCCTCCTAAATTCCTTCTCATGGAGTAATAGGATATCACTCCTACATTGCTCCATAATGAGCATCCTTCATAAACAAAACACATTTTGATATTAACGCATTCCACGTATTTAATTTTTTTATCACATGTGCACATTAATATAACATCTTACACTAGATAAAACATACATATACTTATGTATGTATAAATAATGCTTATTTAATAATAGTACAGAAAAATTATATGCAAACTAACCATTACAAACTTAAAACGGCGAGATATACCATGAAAGTATGTTTATGATTCGCTATGTGGCGAAAATGCTTTATTGGTAACTGACCGGTATTCACATGGGAGTCCACAGAAATGAAACGCATCAAATTGTTAACAGCTTCCGGCCGATTTCCGGCAGGTATTCTCTCATTCCCACAGTCAGACTGTAGGCGATTTGTCAAATGCCTTGTTGTTTCGATAAATTTCAAGCCAGATGGAACAATAATTACCACTTCAAGGTATTTACATATTCAGATTTCAAAATCCCTTAATGGCAAATGCGACTCATGCCTCTCGACACCCAATAAAAGTTCTGGACGGGACAGGATCAGAAACGTAACAACTCAAATATCTCAAGGGCGGTGTCACCATCTGAAATGCATTTTGCATTCAATAATGAAATCATTAAAAAGTTTCAACCAATCTTGGCATACATACCGATGGATCTTAATGTTGGATGTCCAATTTATTTTATTATTTCAAGATTATGGCCCCTATTGCGAGTGTCGATCATCTTTTATTTTGCTATTGTGTAACTTGATCGATAAAAATTTGTACTATTGTGAATGGTTGACGGAATTGTAAACAGCTGTTTGTTTGTTTACATTTGTTTCTTTAATGTTTCATTTACATCATTTTTAAAATAATTGCTTTTATTATAAAATTTAAAAAATGGACACAGTTGAAATATGGTTTAGTGATGAGGAAGATGATGTGGAAGCTAATAGATTAGTAGAGTTGGCTAAAGCAAGGAGGGAATTGCGAGATTCGTCGGATCCCTTGAGTTGGAAGATGAAGTGTATGTACATATGTGAATTTTATGAATAGAAGTTGCGTTCCCGATGCTTCAAGGTTTTTAGGTTTTACAGGATTTGCAGGAAAAGCTGTTTTCCTCATTAATAAATTTTATGGAAGTTTAAGAAATACGGTACCGTTTAGTTATTTGTACAATGATGTTGAGTATTTGTGTCCAAACGCGTGACCCGAGTTTTAAAACTTTAACATACAAGTGTAGTGAAAGAATTAAACTTTAATTTAACATAAAGATTTCAAGTTTCCGAGCACTAGTTAATTAATAAATTATGCAGTATTTTGTAAACTTTGATGTTGGTTCTGCGCAAAAACACTGTGGATGGCGTAGCCGGAATTATATGCACAAGAAATATTGTATATCTTTCACAAAAGAAGCGGAGCTTCCTCCCCTGCTCTTTACGGAAATTCCTTTGCCTATGTCCTCACTCTCCTGCATCAGCTCGACCAACCGCGCAAGTTGCCTTTTGTTGCTTACAATTTTTGATCTGTAATTCAGACACATATGTACATACATATGTATATTTCACAATTTTTTACAACTTCCAATTCAATTGACTTACTTTTTATCCATTATAGTACCACTTTCTTATGTAAATTTTATAAACGCAAACTCCAACGACTAAAAAACAGCAATAGAAGGATGAGCGATTAAAAAGTATTCACAGTCGCTAATTGAGCGACTAAGCGACACTCACAATACCATCGATAATCGATAATCGCTTAATAGTCGTTTATCTACTGCCAGTCGACACTCGCAATAGGGGTGTATATTTTTTTCATCAAGAAATATGTATGTATGTATATATATATTTACAAACGTATAAGTTACCTATCTGTATTATTTTAATCATAATACATTTTTCCAAAAATACAACATTGATTTGAACGAGGTGCATATACCTCCCCTATCAATCAAAAGGAATACTCTTGGATTTCTTGCTTAAGAGACCTCGCTTTTTGCTCCTATGCGAGTAGTACGGAGTCTTGCTTATTGCATCGAAATCATGTCTCAGGGAGGACTCTTTTATTGCTCCCGTAGGAGATCTCTTATATGACTTCTAAGCAGGTAAAACCGGAGTACAAAACCGAAAAATCTCGCTTATTACTCCTTTTCTTCTTTTATTGCTCACATAGGAGATCTCCCATTTGGCTCCTAAGCGAGTAATAAAGGAGTAAAAAACCGACAAATTTCTCTTATTCCTCCGAAATCAGGCCATAGCGAGTACTCTTTTATTCCGCACATAAGGAGATCTCGCTTCAAGTTTCAAACATGTACACAACACATATACAAAAACGGCACCCAAGTACACAATACAATTTCCGGTATTTCTCTTACTGGCGCCTACAACTATTCTTCATATCTACTACCGCCGGCAGCTTTAACAATTTTATAGCGGTTTTACGTTCTTTGGCAAATTACGCTCTGTTAGCCATACATTTTACTATGTTTTGACCATCTTTGTATCAAGACCCCTGGGCCATCTAGGGAATTCATTTATATTTTAGATTGCATTGTCATCGTGATTGGAACTATGCTGAAAATTTCAAGCCTCTACCTTGTCGGGAAGTTAGTTTAAAATCGATTGGAAATTTCCGCGGGAAAATAAAAGCTCGTAAAAAGAACGTAATTAGCGTAATGCGTAATGAGTAGAGCGATTTCAAATTGATCAAATACAAGTAATTTTTAAGCAAA